ATTCTGTGACAAAACCCATATCAAATCCCACAACCTTTTTTTTTTTTTTTTTTTTGTAGAAATGGAAAATCCAACCCTCGGATTTATGTGGAATTGCAAGAGGCCCTGAATAGCCAAAACGATCTTGAAAAAGAACAAAGTCAAAAGACTCATACTTCCCAAATTCAAAATTCACTACAAAATCAAAACAGTGTGGTTCTGGCATAAGGATGGGCATATCCACCAATGGAATAGAATTGAGAGTTCAGAAATAAACCCATACATCGATGAGTGTCATGGCTCAAATTGTGTCCCCCCAAAGATGTACTGAAATCTTAACCTTCAGGACCTCAGAATGTGCCTTATTTGGAAATAGGGCCTTTACAAAGGTAACCAAGTTAAAATAAGGTCATTAGGCTTGGTCCCTAATCCAGTATGACTGGTGTCCTTATAAAAAGGGGAAATTTGAACACAGACATGCACACAGGGAGAACACCGTGTAACGGCGAAGGAAGAGATTGCAATGATGCAGGCCAGAAGTCCACTAGAAGCTGAGAGGCATGAAACAGATTCTCACAGCCTTCAGAAGGAGCCAAGCCTGTCCATACCTTGACTTTGGACTTCTAGTTTCGAGAACTGTCAGACAATATGCTTCTGTAACTTAAAGCCACCCACTTTTTGGTTCTTTGTTAGAGAAATCCTAGGAAACTAATACAATGGCCAACTGATTCAGAGTGCCAAGTCCTTATAGCGGGGAAAAAACAGTCTCTTCAACTAATAGTCCCACATAAGTAGATTTCCACATGCAAAAAGAATGAAGTTGGACCTCTACCTCTCCATATACAAAAATTAAGTTAAAACGGCACAACGACCTGAATATAAGAGCCAAAACCACAGAACAGGAATAAATCTTCATGACCTGGATTTGGCATTTTAGTTATGACGCCAAAGTACAAGCAACAGAAGAAAAAAATAGATACGCTGGACTTGATCAAAATTTAAAACGTTTGCACATCGAAGGATATTATCAAAGAAAGGAAAAGAAAAGAAAATCAAAGGAAAGGCGGAAAATATTCGCGAATCATATATCTGATAGTTTAATATCCAGTATATAGAAAGAACTACTAAAACTCAAGAACAAAAAGACAAACAACCCAATTTAAAAATGGGCAAAAGACTTAAATAGATGTTTCTTCAAAGATATACAAATGGGCAACAAGCAAATGAAAAGAGCCTCAAAATCACTGGTATGTTCACAGTAGTCAAAGACGGAGACCACCCAAGTTTCCAGCACAGAGAAATGTCTTAGAGCAATATAGTGGAATATTATTCAGCCATTAAAAAGGAACAGAGTGCAGACACATGCTACAACATGGATGAACATCGAAAACTCTGTGCTTAGTGAAAAAGCCAGACGCAAAAGGTCGAATTTTGTATGATTCCACTTATATGAAACATCTAGAATAGGCAAATTCATTGCCTATTCTAAAGTACATTAGAGGTTGCCAGGGATGCGGGGGAAGGGAGAAATGAGGAGTTATCGCTTGCTTAATGGGTACACAACCTCGTAGTGATGAAGATGTTTTAGAAATGGTGCTGATGGTTGTATAACATTATGAATGTAATTAATGCCCCTAAATTATACTTAAAATGGCAAAAATGGCCACTTTTCTGTTATATATATATTTTGCCACAATAAAAAATTTTTAAATATTCCGTCTACGGCCATGCTACCCTGAACAAGCCGGATCCCGTCTGATCTCGGAAGCTAAGCAGGGTCGGGCCTGGTTAGTACTTGGATGGGAGACCACCTAGGAAGACCAGGGGCTGTAGGTGCAAAAAATAAAAAAAATAAGGGATTGTAAGCTGACAAGGTCCTTGCAATCTGTGAGGTCAAGCAAGGGTTGCCTTGCCTAAAAAATAAAAAATTAAAAAAAATTTTTTTTTTTTAAACAGTCAGCCTGGGCTCAGGGAGAGGATCAGAGTCTAACTGGGTCTGGGGATAAGCCAGCGCTAGATCTAACTCAGAGTTCAGAAACTAAAGATAGAATTGATTATGCTGGGATCCGGAATCATGCTGGGGACAAGAGTTCTTCCGCTGGGATCAAGGGTCACGCTGGAGTCAAGAGTCATGCTGGGTGACGTCAGATCAGAATGGGCAGGGCCTCACCTGAACATGGCAATGAGCAAATTGACTAGCACGATGTTGGCCACGAGCAGGAAGATGACGAGGAGGAGCACCACCAGCCAGTTGGCATAGAGCGAGACGCAGGCGCCCGCCTGGGCCCCGGATGGGCGCGCCCAGAAGCCCTGTTTCGCCGAGCAGTTGACATGTTCCATGAGGGCCACTGCAAAGGAGGACACTCAGAGATGGGTCCAGACAGACAGAGACGGGGACAGAGACCCAAAGAAACACAGGAGGGGGCAGAGACCTAGACAGGGGGCAGAGATACAGACAGAGAAGAGGATGGAGTCCTTTAGGAATGGAAGAGCAGGGGCCCTGCTCAGAGACCCAGACAGCCGGAGAAAGAGATAAGGGGCTAGAGACCCAGAGACGGGGGACAGAGGGGAGGGGCTCAGAGCGAGGATGGGTGTTGGGCCCTCTCATCCCTCCTTACCGTCCATGTCCTCCTGCGGGATCTGCCCGAAGATCTGCAGGTAGGGCCGGTAGAAGACTCGTCGCAGGATTTTCGGCAGGTCCTGATCCTGGGGCCTGAGGAGCCCCTCTGTAGCAACCCCGTAGGCAACCAGCCACACGCCGAGGAAGAAGAGGAAGAAGAACACGTCCTTCATCTACTGGAGAGAAAGATGAGAACTAGCCTGGCCCCGCCCCAAGCCCCGCCTCCATCCTAGAAGAGCACCTGCAAGCCGCCCGAACCTCCCTGGCCCCGCCCCTTTCCTCCTCGGGCCCCGCCCCCTCACCATCTTGTTCACGATGACGATCTTGGGCCCCAGCTGTTTGTTGACCGTGAAGATGTGCAGCAGGCGCAGCGTGAAGACCATGAAATCAAGGCAGAGGACTGTGCGGCCCAGGTCATACAGGCCCGGAGTCAGCCTGGGGTGTAGGGGGACACTCAGAGATGGAGCCAGACAGACAGAGACCTAACAAATACAGTAGTCCCGAGGGGCGTGGGGGAGCAGAGCCCCAGAAAGAGAGGGGGACAGAGACCCAAAGAAACACAGGAGGGGGCAGAGACCTAGACAGGGGGCAGAGATACAGACAGAGAAGAGGATGGAGTCCTTTAGGAATGGAAGAGCAGGGGCCCTGCTCAGAGACCCAGACAGCCGGAGAAAGAGATAAGGGGCTAGAGACCCAGAGACGGGGGACAGAGGGGAGGGGCTCAGAGCGAGGATGGGTGTTGGGCCCTCTCATCCCTCCTTACCGTCCATGTCCTCCTGCGGGATCTGCCCGAAGATCTGCAGGTAGGGCCGGTAGAAGACACGTCGCAGGATTTTCGGCAGGTCCTGATCCTGGGGCCTGAGGAGCCCCTCCGTAGCAACCCCGTAGGCAACCAGCCACACGCCGAGGAAGAAGAGGAAGAAGAACACGTCCTTCATCTACTGGAGAGAAAGATGACAACTAGCCTGGCCCCGCCCCTTGCAGCTCTGACCACGCCCCGCCCCACCAAGCTCCGCCTCCGTCCCAGAAGAGCACCTGCAAGCCGCCCGAACCTCTCTGGCCCCGCCCCTTTCCCTCTCGGGCCCCGCCCCCTCACCATCTTGTTCACGATGACGATCTTGGGCCCCAGCTGTTTGTTGACCGTGAAGATGTGCAGCAGGCGCAGCGTGAAGACCATGAAATCGAGGCAGAGGACCGTGCGGCCCAGGTCATACAGGCCCGGAGTCAGCCTGGGGTGTGAGGAGACGCGACAGGGGTCACTCGGGGGTCACAGGGTACAAAGGAACACCCGCGACTTCCCAACGCGAGGCTTCAGATGAGGCTGTAGAGGCCAGAACTGGGACCCTCTGATTCGCCAGGGCTGTCCTCAGATCTCACAGTGCAAACTAGGCCACGCAGGGCACTGGCACCCATTAAAAAACGGCTGCAAGAACGATGGCTTTAGCAAGTTGGAAAAACTACTGCAATATTTGTCCAACCTACAAAAGGCAAAATGTGGGGCGTTCTAGCAAACCAGTCAGTAAGCAGAAGACAAATGACCTAACTGGAAAGAGGATAAAGGCCAACGCACAATTCACAGCATAAGGTCAGATGGCCAATACATGAGTAATCTCTCTGGGGAAGATACAAATTATATCCCTATTTTACATCATCGTGTACTTAAATTCTGGGTCGATTGAAAACCTAGAATAAAAGGCACAACATTAAAATCTTAAAAAATATATAAAAGAATTTCTTCATGAGCTTGAGATAAGATGTCACATAAGAAAAACAGTCTTATCTACAGGACACAAAATCACAATAAAGGAAAAGATTGATGAATTTGACTACTTTGAAATATAAAATGTCTGTGCACCAAAAGATAAATACAATGAACAGAGAAAGACAAATAGTTTTGCCCAAAATGCATAGCCTAAATTTGATCATGAGAGAACATCGGACAAGCCCAAATGAGGCAAATTCTACAAAATAACTGGCCTGGGCCGTTCAGAAGTGTTAAGGTCATAAAAGCCAAAAAAGGATGGAAGAACTGTCCCAAATTGGAGAAAATTGAGGAATCATGACAACCAAAGGCAACATGGAATCTTGGACCAGCAACAGGACATCAGTAGGACAACCGGTGAAATGTGAATAAGATTTCCTGGTTTTGATAATGTAAGATGTTAACATCTGGAAGATCTGGGTGAAAGGTGTAGGGGAATTCTTTCTACTGTTCTGCAACATTTTTATAAGTTTTGGGTTGTTTCAACATGAAAAGTTACAAAATAAAAGAATATTTTAAGATAACATGCAAAAAAAGAAAAGACAAGCTACAGACTGTGAAAAGATATTTAGAACAAAACCACCGAGGATTACGATCCAGAGTTTAAGAGATCAATGAACATAATAAAATTTTTTAAGTGGGGGCAAAGGCTATGAAGAGACAGTTGACAGAAGTACATGTGGTCATTAGCTATGAAAATATCTCCAAGCTTACTAGTAGTCAGGGGTGCCTAAATTTAAAAAGGAGAGGTCCTTTTTACCCATAAGATTGGCTAAAAAAGGTCAACGTTAGATTAAGAGCTACAAAATTTTAAAGATTAAAAATATCAGGGTACTGTCAAGTGTCTTTAAAGGGGGCCCCCTCTTACCCTGATGGTAGGCGTATACATGGGTGAAGCTATCTTACAAGGAAATCTGTCCACATCAAGAATATATGTACCCTTCGACCCACAAAGTTGAAGTCTGGGATGTAAACTTTTATTACTTCGGAATAATAAAAATTAGAAACAACCAAAATGTCCATCCAGAAGGGATTGGCAACACAAAATGATTCATCCATGCAATTCTGGACATCGCTGGAAATTTTTTCCATTGTAAGCAGAGATCTTTGGATTTTTTTCCCCCCCATGCAGTAATTTTTCCCACCCCTAGAAAATGGTGAGCTGGATAGTATGTCTTAAATACCGCTGGTATTCTTAGAGCACTGGGTAGCACAAAGCCTCGACCCTATCATCTCAAATGATACCTTATACAAGTACAAGAAATAAACAGAAGCACAGTGTTCTGCAAAGCAAAACTCTTATCTTGCTGTAGGAATAAATTATTCACATCGTATTACTTGATAGCATTCCTTTTTTCTTTTTCTATGGAACGCTTCACGAATTTGCGTGTCATCTTGCACAGGGGCCATGCTAATCTTCGCTGTATTGTTCCATTTTTTAGTATATGTGCTGCCGAAGTGAGCACTACTTGGTAGTATTTCTAACACAGCATGGAAGAAGCCTTTCTTTGGGGGTGTCAACTGAGAAAGGAGTAGGGGGTATTGATGTCAACCATCCAGATTATACAAGGGGTGTCAGGTCCCTTCATCCTTGTAAATAGTCACTAAGTTGTATCCACAGAGTTGTCTGCTTTCCTTAAGTAGAAAATGAAAGAGACTTTGTGGAGAAAATTCTGACCTAAGTTCTATCTCTTGAAGTTCAGAATTTTTGTCTCACTGCCTTATGAAAAGAATTCATTCATTCATTAAATTCTGGCAAGAAGTCTGTCTTGTCTGATCTTTGGCCGATAATAGCAAAAACCCCTTCTTCTGGAATCTGATGCAACGTTATCAAAGAATACAGTATATGGGAAAAATGTCAGGACATATTATAGAGAAAAAAAAAAGCTGCAGAAGAATACATAAAATACAAAGCCTTTTGTATATAAAAGGACTATGTGTATCTGTCCACGTAAATGCATAGAAAAAGAACAGGCAGGATGTGCACCAAACTGCTGATGGACATTACTGCTGAGAAGGACGCTTGGAAAGATTGAGGAAAATTGTTGGTTTTTGTTGTATGTCCTTCTGCCTTTGTTCAATCTTGTTCAATGAAGATATATTACTGCATACATCTGAACCTATGACATCCCACCCAGAAAAAAATGGACATAAAGAAATAAAAGCCACAAAGTAATAGACTGTATTTCAAAGATGTTTTAAGTTGCTGGGAGATGAGATAAATTATGGCACAAGCCATAATCAGAGCACCATTTGGGGTGACCTCAGGACATTAAAGAAGGGACCTGAGCCTGGGAAGAATAAAGGAAGGCTGACAGAGACCGCAAAGCTGAGGCCTAAAAGAAGCGTCAGAGTTGGCTTCGACGAAGAGAGGAGAGGAAAAGTGTCCCAGAAAGAGGGAACAGCCTGTGCCAAGATCCAAAGATAAGATAATTTGTTCTCGAGGAAGTTTTGACGTGCCCTTTGCCCTCTCTCTGGGCACCTCACAGAACGATCCGGAAACTATAAAAGAAATGAACGAACAGTATTCTGCCCAGCCTTGTCAATAGATAACATTTGAGAAAAATCCCCCATAATTCGTATTTTGTATAAATTAGCTAAGAAATAGCAGAAACAGTCAAGGTTTTTATGGACTGAAAAACTGACAAAACAGTCAAGCCTCCCTGATGAAATCTGAATCTATGACATTTCACCTAGAAGAACACTGGACATAAAGAAATAAAAGCCACAAAGTAAAATTCACACGCACGGACCTTAGAGTTTAGCCCGATTCAACGCGGACAAAAAAACTCGAATGGTGAACCAAATATTTGTTGTAAAAGTAAACCCCGGTAATAGTTAACCACATTGAAATAATTTCAGAAACTGAAGATGAAAATAACTGAAGCTGAGTTAGCTGCCCTGCCTATAAAATCGATCGGGGACGTTTCAAGCAACTGGAAGATACTTCCTTGAGAAAAATTCATCAGTACTGGTAAAATTCCGATGATAAGTTTGTAATTACACAGATTCAAAATATCTAGGATCAAGGTCAAAGCCCCCGCGTCTGTCTCCCTGAGGAAGGAACTACAAGTAGCTTGCAGAGAGGCTGCGGTGTACATGAAGAAAAGAAATTGGGAGCCGGTCCTGCAGAGAGGATCAGACAGGGCCCAAGGCCAGGTTCAGGGGCTTGGGCTCTGTCCAGGGGCACTGGGAAACGGAGGGACCGGTCAGATCTGGGTGTAAGAAGACCCCTGTGGGGAAGGAATGGATAGAGCCCCGGAGGCTCTGGCGAGGGTCCACGGGGGAGGGTGGCGGTGCTGATGGTCAGGGGGATGGGACAGAGAGCGGGGAGGAGGGGGCTGAGGGCGGCGCCTGCGTCTG